TGAGATAGCCAATTCGTAACAATGATCTCCAGGCATCATTTGCTTGCAGAACTACGATGGAGAGCCATTGGGTGACTGGAGACAGGATAAAGTCAAACAAAAGTGACCAGATGGCTAAATGCGACTCCTTCTGTGGTTCATAGACTTTGGAGGCGATTTCAAACCAACTGCTACAACGAGCGCCGATGACCAATATTTGACATTATGTGCACGCAGGAATAAAACTGCTACTCCGACTCTTCTTAGATCCTCCCTTGCTGCAGACACCAGAAGGTTTGTGTCAACGCCAACTCCACATAGAAGGTGGTCTGTATGCGAGGCGGCCAGCCATTTGTGTGCCACTCACGTAACGCCATTGGAGGTACCGTTTTCAGTGAGCACGACAACATGTGCACTGGACGTCTGATCAATGGAGGTCGGTTCTCTTTACGGATGAGTCCAGGTTTAGTCTAGAAAGCGATAGTAAGCGTTATTTGATATGGAGAGAACCTGGAACCTGTTATCATCCATCAAACATCCGTTAAAGGGTTGCATACGGAAGAGGGAGTGTCTGGCTTTGGGGTGGCATCTCTATGGGTAGACGCACAGACCTCCATGTCTTTCCAATGGAAATCGTGAATGCTTCGGTTTATAGAGATGACATCCTTAATGCTTATGAGCTGGGGCCATAGGTGATGCTTTCCTGTTACAGGATGATAACACAAGACCACACAGGGCTCACATCGTAAATGATTATCTTCAACAGGAAACAATTATGCGCATAGAGTGGCCAGCTCGAACCCCGGACTTGAATCCTATCGAGCATGTTTGGGATACTTTAGAGAGACGTCTAACTGCTCTCAATCCACCCCCTCAGACCCTTGCCGCGCTTGCAACTGCTTTGCAAGAGCAATGGCTCTTGCTTCCTATGGACAATGAGTGAAATGGAACTGATAGACCGCATAATTGAAAGCATCACGCATCGCTGTATGTGCTGTATTGCTTCTAGAGGCGACCATATTCCATATCGAAGGTACTTTTCCTATAGCAAACTGACACCTTCGATTTGTTCATTTTATACATGTGCTAATTTCTATACTACCCTAATTGTCTGTCTGGTAATTTATTTTTGTGTTATTTGATACCTTACTATGTGTTGTATATTGTGGGGAAGTTTCATAAAATTCTACATGTAACTTTTTCAGTAATTGTGATTTTTGGGATTTTTCCTTAATTTATGATAACCAGTGTACTTTTATTCAAATAGTCGAGTTGTGCACAGTACATTGTCAAATTGATAGTTTCGCTAGGTTGCAGCAGCTCTTCCAGTCCCACCAAATACTCAGCATAACCTCGTTTAGCTACAATCCAGGCTTTGAAGTCGTTTGTGGAAGGTTATCAGCCTTTGAGCATGACCACTTGCATTTGATATTTTCGTATTTCACCCATTTTTCATCACCTGTAATGATTCACTTCAAAAATGGTTTGATTTCGTTGCGTTTCAGCAGCATTTCACTGATGGTAATTCAATCAATTAAATTTCAAATTCATGTTGCACCCAAACATTGCTTTTTGTAGCGCTCTTTTCAAATGATTCCAAACTGTCATGTGGTTGATGTTTAGTGCCTCTGCTGTTTTCTGACAGCTTGCGTACTGGTCTTGCTCCACCAGTTGTAAAATTTCATCGACTTTTTCAGTGACTGACTGACCAGAACAAGACGCATTTTTGACATCGAAATTTCCAGAGTGGAATTGAGCAAAACACTCCTGTGTCCTTTGTTCACTCACAGCATTCTCACCGTATACTTCACAAATTTTTCAGCATGTTTTTGCACCATTTTTACTTTTTTATAGTAAAAAAGCATCGCTTAGTGTATTTCTTCAGATATTTCACTCATTGTCAAATCAATCTAACTTTCTATATTCACAGGAACGAATTAGAAAACTATCTTCACAAACTATGTAAGCTGAATGTCACCTTTTAAGCACATGTTCATTTGAGACAATCTGGTGAGTGTTGCCAGATGTATAGGCATCAACACCATCTAGTGGCAAAACCCGTTGAGACATTTTATATGACTCAATATATACTTGTACCTACATACATACATTTCTCAGTCCTGTCCTCCAATACAGAAGAGAACTGGTTTTCTTTCCCATTGCTTGGTCATCATATTTGCCAGATCTTTTTCCCTGTCATTTCAGGCTGTGAAGCTACTTGAGGAATATTGTTTATTGAAGTATTATAAATTTTGTAGATTTGAAGTACCACATTTCTCTGTATATGCAAAGCGTCACCGAGAATTTATTGCAAACGACTGTTGGACAGAATGTTCATTGCCTTGTGCAAATTCAAAGTGGGCAACACATTTAGCAGTTTCTCTGAAATGTTTTCTATGGATAAAACTGGTGTTTGATTTCGTGAATCGCATAAGATATTATTCTGCATAGTCCATGTGTTTATGCAAATAACATTGTATTTTCTTTTAACTTCAGCACATGAAATAGTATTTCTTTTCTAAAATTTCATCCTTAAAGTAAATGCTATAATAAGTGAGGTTTATTTATTTTATTTAATTTCTTGCTCTTTTTTTTTACTGTAAAATATCTTTTAGCAAAAAATTTTTAAACTGTTTTTTTCCCCACTTTTCTGTAGAATTCCCTTCCACAATCTTTGAGTAATGCATGTATAAATTATAGTGTCAGTCACAGCTACAGTGTGCTCTGAATGGGCCAGTTTCAAAGCACAGAATCACTACTATATAGTTATTTACAATTAGTACATATTTATAAGTTAATTAAGAACTACAGATATAAATAAGCATGCATTATTATGTAACAAACTCTAAAAATTTTCATGACCAGCAATTTAGGAACCAATTTTAGAGCCTGAGATATTGCTTTACCTATAGATGATCTATTAACTGTATCTAAAAGAGAGTAATGTCTGACTCCATATCTACGATGTGAGCCCTGTGTATTTAAGAGTTTCTACGTGCTTGATATATCCTGCTTCTTCTGTGGTCTATTCTGTAACCTTTGAGTAAACTAAGTCATGTCTAATTGATAACTCTTTTACTTTGTTTTACCACTAGTTACCATAATATGCCAATCATGTTTGTCTTATTTGAAATATACACTGGTTATCATAAATTAAGGAAAATTCACAAAAATCACGATTACTGAAAAACTTACATATAGAATATAATGAAACTTACCCACAATATACAACACATAGTAAGGTATTAAGTAACATAAAAATAAATTAACAGACAATTATGGTAGTATAGAAATTAGCACATGTATAAAGTGAACAAATCGAAGGTGTCAGTTTGCTATAAGAATAGTACCTTATTTGAAATATACACTGGTTATCATAAATTAAGGAAAATTCACAAAAATCATGATTACTGAAAAACTTACATATAGAATATAATGAAACTTACCCACAATATACAACACATAGTAAGGTATTAAGTAACATAAAAATAAATTACCAGACAATTATGGTAGTATAGAAATTAGCACATGTATAAAGTGAGCAAATCGAAGGTGTCAGTTTGCTATAAGAATAGTACCTTCAATATGGAATATGATCGCCTCTAGAAGCAATACGGCACATACAGTGATGTGTGATGCATTCAATTATGTGGTCTATCAGTTCCATAGGAAGCGAGAGCCATTGCTCTTGCAAAGCAGTTGCAAGCGCGACAGCGGTTTGAGGGGGCGGATTGAGAGCAGCTAGACGTCTCCCTAAAGCATCCCAAACGTTTTCGAAAGGATTCAAGTCCGGAGATCGAGCTGGCCATTCCATGCGCATAACTGTTTCCTGTTGAAGATAATCATCTACAATGCGAGCCCGTGTGGTCTTGTGTTGTCGTCTTGCAAGAGGAAAGCGTCACCTATTGCCCCGGTGTATGGGCGCACATAAACATCAAGGATGTCATCTCTATAATTCTGAGCATTCACGATTGCTCTTGGAAAGACATGGAGGTCTGTGCGTCCACAAACACAGACATTGCCCCTTCCGTATGCATCTCTTTCACGGATGTTTGATGGATGATAACGGGTTCTAGATTCTCTCCATATCAAATAACACCTAATATCGCTTTCTAGACTAAACCTGGACTCATCCATAAAGAGAACCGCCTTCCATTGATCAGGCATCCAGTGGACATGTTGTCGTGCCCACTGAAAATGGTCCCTTCTATGGCGTGACGTGAGCAGCACACAAATGGCTGGTCGCCTCGCATACAGACCACCTTCATGAAGCCTTCTACACGCAGTTGACATTGACATGAACCTTCCGGTGGCTGCAGCAAGGGAGGATCTAAGAAAAGTCAAAGTAGCGGTTCTTTTCCTGCGTGCACATAATGTCAAATATCGGTCATCGGGGCTCGTTGTAGCAATTGGCCGTCCTTGGCTGAACCTCCTAGATGCCGAATCTGTGGTTTGAAATTGCCTCCGAAGTCAATGAATTACAGAAGGACTCACATTTAGCCATCTGGCCACTTTTGTTTGACTTTGTCCTGCCTCTAGTTTCCTAATGGCTCTCCGTCGCAGTTCTGCAGGCAAATGATGCCTGAAGGTCATTGTTACGAATTGGCTATCTCAAATTTCTGATTCACAGTGAACATTCATATTTCACTGTCACAGTGAAATATGTGGGCTTGCTTTCAATCATGGACTTTTATGCTCCTCATAGATGACATATTCCGAAAGCAGCGCCACTAATTTGCATATCACAGTTTTACTCAGCTACTCTTACTTGGCAACATATTCAAATTTTACACGTTTTGGCTTATTTGTTAGGGAGTTATTGCTATGTTTGTGATTTTTCCTTAATTTATGATAACCAGTGTACTTTAATTATTTTTACTTTTTTAGAATTTCTGCAAGTAGTAGTATGTTTAGAGCAATTTTGATGATGAATGTCAAGTATTAATTTTTATTGACAGTAGTTGTTATTTTTTAAATTATTGTAAAAATATGGATGAATACAGTTTCAAAATATCTCTTAGGTGTATACAGAGTATCTGAATTAGTATGTCCGGATTCTTTAAAATCATCTTATCAGAAGAGAGCGAGAGAGTTGGAAATGTCTAATTCCATGAAATGCTTCTTGTAAGTACTTTTTTTTACAATATTTATGAATAGTTTTAAAATTGGGATAATGTGTATATAATTTTGGAATTTTGGGACATTTTCACTGTTACTGAAAAATATAGTAAAATAGGCAATGTACTGAATATCTTCTGCAAAGCATTCTACAATTCAAGTCTATTCCAAGTTCTAGGATTTCTCTGTTCTTCCTTTCTTTGATAGCACATTGTGTGGTATCCCAGTTTAACACTTGGAGGATCTGAGAACCTAGGTGGAATAACAAAACTCCAAACTCAGATTAAAGCTCCTGTTATCATAAAGTGACATCCTGATATTTGTGTGGAGGTGATACATTGTCTTGTTGATAGAAGTCTAGTCCATTAGTATGAATTCAGGACATAAGCTGGTGTAGATCATCAGAAAGGATGCACAGATGCTGTTGACAGTCACAGACTTTACAGATGTATGGAGTCCCAGTGATTTCCATGCTATTATGATTCCCCTTTCACCCAGCATGGTTCCCTGTTGACAAGCAAAATCCATGGCTTCTTGAGTTCGTCCATCTGCCAATACAGTTGGAAATGTAACTTGTCTGACCACGCTTCTTGTTTCTGGTAATCAAATACCTAGAGTTGGTGTATTGCCATGCCCAAGCAAGATACATAGTTCTGTTTTGTGCAGTCATCAAAGGAACTCGGGTGGCTGTTGGCTCTTTCAATTTTTTTTATGTGTTGATGTTTGTTGAGGCTTCAATATTGAATTCTGATGTTGCCTGCTAAAGTGTTATATGCTAGCATGTGAAAATATTTTTGACAGCTAGTATTAATCCAAAGTCATAATCTCATTTTTTGGAGTAATTTTCAGGGAATACTTAATTCTGTAATGTTGGCGTAGCACCAATGATAGTTGTTATAGATGATTGCTTAGTGTGCAACTTTTGGAGGTTATAAGCTAAGTTTTTCTTGTCCACATAAGGGTGCCAAAAAATGCTGGAGCAAAGTCTCCTGCAATGTGATTAGATTCAAACTCTGTTTTTTGGATTACACAGTCTAAGACTATGTTTATGTATTTTACTGTTTTACTACAGCTCAAATATTGCTCTTTAACCTTCATTTTATTATTTTTTTCATCTTTTTTACTGGCTATTTTTGAATCAAAATATCATAACCTGATGCAGTCTTATAGCCTTCATTGTTATTGTTTTTCTGGAACCATTCTTCCTTCTTTTCTTCATTTGCATTTTGAAAACTCTGATTATCAGAAATAATTTTAAGAAGGCCCAATTTTTTATTTCTTCACTGTGAGAATTTTGCCCCTTTACAGTATAAGAAATCAGTCGTTTTTTCATGTATTCATTAGCATTAACTTCATTCCATGCCTTAACAGTGAGATTTACAATATTAAATAGAATTCTGTTCAAAATCTGTATTTAAAATTTTTGTCTTGTTCAAGTGTTTGTCTAAAAAATTAAATGTATATTGAGGGTCAATATACATAAATAATCTACAGGCGAATATTCAGAAAAACTCGTTGTATTTTTTAATGATAGTAAGGTATCTAAATAATTAATTTCGGTACTTTTGGATTATATGCATCCCCTTCTAAAAAGTTACCAACTGTTAGTGACTAATTTCTTACCAAGTCAAAACTTAACATCATTTCTCAAAAATGGTGGCACACTAAGAATTACGTAAAACAGCAACTAGCTGACAAAATTAAAAGTGCAATAAACATCTATAATAAAACCTTTTTCTTGCACTGTTCTCTCCATGTTCACAGTGATTTGTTTTAGTTTTAAAAAACATCAGAGAATCACACAAACTTGGTATTGTGCACAGCTTGATACTGCACACACTGTCACAGTGATTACACAATGATTTATTAGTCCAAAGGGATTTGAATCCCGAAGGACTATTAGTTTCGTTTTGGCATTTTGCGTCGGACTCATAAATGTCGGTTCACTTTTAAAACTGTTGCCACAAAATGTTAGAGTCCTGCATTATATTTGAAGAAATTAAATAATGAAAATCTGCATAAATGTATGTATATTTCTCGTATTGTGATAAAATAACGGTACATAGAGTCATCGAATTTTGAATAACGTAATCATCCAACGAATATGAGCATGTGGAAGAACAAATTTGAAATTTGTTTTATGATCGATTTCCTATTTTTTAAAACTTTGACGAATTTTTGATTAACAAACTCAAGGATTTCAAAGCGAGCAATGGCAACGTTGTGCAGAAAAAACATTTTTATCTCCAGCGCGTGAGTCTCTGTATCGGAAATTCTAAAGATATGCTCGTTTTAAAACTATTTTGCAATATTGCTGTTGCACTGGATCTTATGGTTTAAGTGCGAGGAACATGATATTTAATAAAGAAAGGTAACACACAAAATGTTAAAAAACGCCCCTTTGGACGTAATTTAAAATCTGAAACATTTCAGATTTTTTTTTTTTTTTTTTTTTGCTTAAAAAACAGAGAATTGTACAAAATTGGCATTGTATACAAACTTAAAGCCATAAAATTTGATCATTTAAAAAGTACAACTTCATTGAAAGCAGATTTTTACATCATCTATTGTTGGGTTAAATGCCTCATTTTTGAAGACGTACAACTTTCTTTTTCATAATCTAATAAACTCCAGAGTCCCATTATAATTCCTTAGGAGGGGAAAAAAATTCAAATGCAATAAAAGAAACATTAATCAGAAAAGAGACTCGGATTTTAAGGTGAAAATCAGCTTCCTCTGCTGCATGTGCACATAGCTGAGTTGTCACAAAAATTATTTTTACCTATGTCATGGGTTACTTATTTTGTCAACATGGTGAAAGAACCTCAATTCTTTTATAGCTTAGATTTTATTGATGCTAATGTGTAAGTAATGTTTTTGATAACATTAAACTCGCTGTATTTATTAAAGATAATTAGCTCATTGATAGATTCTGTATGGTTTTAAATTTGTCATTTGTGATAATTGAAATAAGTATATTTATTTATTCTAGAGAAAATCTTTATTACTACTACTATTAATAGGTAATACTTGGATATTAACCAGTAATTACAATACACCACCAGCAATCTGTTACTGCCTTTTGGCAGTTGAATATACACCGAAGAGCCATTACATTATGACCACCCTCCATCTATAACAATGGGCTCACCCAGGAACAAAACCACAGTGCATGCATGGCTCATGTTTGAGTATATAAAAGCGCTTTCCAAACATAGTACGATTCGGAACATAATGGGAAAAGCAGCTGATTTATCAGACTTTGATAAAAGTCAAATCATTATGGCTTGGCAACTGGGAACATCAATATCAGAATTATCCATTAACTTTAACTTCTAATTTTAAGATATAGAACAATGTGAAAATTTCAAATAAGCAATAGACAAAATGACAGCGTCACGTGCAAAGCAAGTAAAAGGAACGTTTCTATTATAAAAAGAATGCATCGAAACATTTACCTTTTTTTCTTTGCCTGTATTGTTTTATCATACTGTTTTATCTTTATCTGTTTTCAGATATATTGTGTAAAAATATTTGGTAATTGTAAAAATATTATAATAAGTTAAAGAAATATCAAAACTGCTAAATTTTTTGGTGACCCACAGTTTAAGAAATGCTCTAATAGAGCATTTGTGGTCCCACCTGGAAATTCCACCAAATTTGTGCTGCTACACTACCCCCTCGCAATGTACTGAAATTGCAGGACCAGTTGGTCAGTGCTTGATACCAGATACCTAAGACTACGTATCAGCACCTTGTTGAGTCGATGCCACACCGGGTGCTGGCAGTTTTGAGGGTGGTCCTACATGTTATTTACAAGTTGGTCATAATGTAATGATTCTTTGGTGTATTTTCAACATTAGCAGACTGATGAAGGACATTTTTTAAATTTCTGGTAGACATTGGTTGGTAACTGCATTCAAAATCATTTCAGACTGTTATTCTGTATAACTATCTCTGTCTTCATATGAATTCTCTAAATAAAAATGTTAGTGACTTCAATAAAACCTATTCCCAATTCTAATGATTTTCAATATATTTGTTGATATTACATTTATATGTCTTCTCTCATATATATATGTGTTTACTGTGCAAGAATTGGAAGAGTCCTTTTTTTTTTATCACAATACCTTATGCCTGGTAATAATAGACTATTTTTGCTTTATTTCTCTGTAAATCTAGTGAATGCATGATGCAAAATGAAATAATAATAATAATGCCCCAAGAATATTTGTTGCCCCAAGAATTTTTCATAAGAAAATTTACCAAAAAAAGTTATAATACAGTGCAGATATACTATTGCTTTAATTAGTCTGAAGTTGCATATTGAAGTAAAAAAAGGAAGCCATTTCCATTCTCCCTTAACCCCCCTCCCAGAAACTAAACAAAAAAAGGAAAGAAAAAAAAATTGTATCTGTCGAGAAGAATCCAGAATAGTTTCTGAGTTACTAAAGTGTTTGTAGGAAAGCAGAGTCATAAGTGGTTTTATGGATGGTAATAGGTAGGTACCAACTAATATACAAATACTCTTCATTTTAAGAGCAATAACTTAAACTTGATCTTATGTGCTTGAAGGAGTAAAATTTAAATAATATTTTTAACATCTGTTTTGAGCCAAATCAATTTTCAGATTGATTTATCGTTCATAAAAGTCATTATTTCTCATCCCCTTAGGAGCAAATGGAAATGTATTTTGGGATAAATATTTTAGCTGTGTTGTGTTGTTGAAACTGTGTTTTTCTTTGTTACAGAGTGAACTTATATATTGAAGCTAAAGACAGACATTCAGGCCCATTTTTATTTGAAATTTATCCAAAAATGACCTTAAGACTTTTGAAGTTGAAGGTAACTAATTATGGTTATTTAATTTAGATTATATCTCTGTTAAATGTTTATGTGCTTGTAACCTTTAAAAATTTCTTTGTGTATATTATTATTATTTTCTACTTATAAAAATAAATTTTAGTGGTACCGTTTTTATGAGAAGAACTTTATTTTCTCTAAATTATTTTTGAACTTAAAAGTTCTAGCCACGATGAAATTTTTTACTATATGTCTTTTGTAATCACGTGTAAAATATTTTATCTCGTCATTTACATAGATGCAAAAATTGAAAACACTGTTATTAATATTTTAAGAATAATTAAGAGATTGTTAAGAGCAGTTAATTAAAACTAAGGAAAAAAGTTATGAATGGGCTGTAGTTACTGTATGTGACATTTACACATATGGCTTTTGAAAAAAATAAGCATTAAGAAAACCTTAATTTTTATTTATATAGAAATAAACATGTTTTTCTGTTTACATTTTTCTAATTGAATTCCATTTTATTGCTCTATGTGATTTAAAAAAACTCAATATACTGCTTTTTTTAAAGACAGCAATTTTGTGTGCATGCCTTGAACAGAAAAAAAAAAAAAAAAAAAGTTAAACATTAAAGTTGTAAATCTTCACTACTATTTTAAATGACTTGTATATTTGTCAGAATAATTTCAATGCATTCAATGTGTAATTTGAGATATATATAGCATCAATATTCTTTATACATGTGTTTAAATATTTTATTATTCATTCTAATCAAAAATAGCTTCATGATTTCTCTTTTTTTCTTAGAATTGGATAATTTTGATTGTATTTATACATTTCTAAACTTTTTTTTGAATGATTCTTATGAATGATTTATTCTGTATTTTCTGTATATATTTATACCCAAAAAAATGCACATTTTCCCTATTTTTTATGTTTTTCTTTCCATTCATCGTATATGCAGGTCGAACAAGAATATGATATTGCTGTTTCTGCACAAATGTGGATTCTTGGCAGAACATTAGCTGTTGATAATGATATGTCATTATATCATTATGGTGTACTTCCAGGATCACCAATATTTTTATATGTTGATTCTGCATACAAAATGCCAGTCCATAAAATTCCCCATAAGCCAGTGTCAGAGCCTGCAGTTAATAGGAGAGAGAGCAGTATTAATGTAACCATTATTGATAAAGTATCTAATAAAACTGAAGGCAAAAGCATAAATAAAAGTAAAAGAATTCCTTTTGAAGTAAAAAAACATAAGAAAGACCGAAATATATCTAAAAAATTGTTAGAACCTCTCCAAGATCAGGTTTGCCATGCTAAATCAAAACAAATTAAATCTGAGAATATTTCAAATGCATCTGAGTCTACTAAGAAACTAAATCAGAATTTGTATTTAGCTGAATTAGAACCAATTATAAATCTAGATGCTTTAAAAAATAATTCTCAAAATAAAGATGAATCAATTTCTCAGTTGTTATCCGAAACAGATCAAAATAAAGATTATGTGTTGTTATCTGAAGTTGATAGATCTGTATGTCATGAATTATTGCAATTAAAGGAAAATAAAAGCAATGAAATACAGTCAGAACCTGAGGAAGCTATGAACAGTGGATTGCATAGTGCCAAAAGGGAAAAAAATGTTAACATTTCCAATAGTGAAAAAGTCTTTTTCCAAAATCCAGAAAATAATGATTTAGAAAATAACACAGTATCATCTAATTCTTTTGATATCTTTGAGAACAATTTTGAGTTGTCTGATTCTAAGCAAGACTATTTGAGAAATCAAATTTTTGCTGAAAATTTTCCTCAAAACTTTCAAGATGCAGAGCATCAAGAAGTATCAGATTTCTCAGAAAAAAAATTAGGTTGTGAAATTATGAGTGTTAATTCTGTACAGCCTACTGCCAAAGCAAAAAGTGATAAAATTTCGATTCTAAGGAGGTTAAGTCTGAAGCATAGAAGAAAATCAAAAGAGACTGAAATAGATGAAGTGTTGAATAGTAACAGTGAAGTGCTTATGGCATCATCTCTTAATGATACTGTGGCAGAAAATATTCGTAAGTCCTCCCTATGGGAAATATTTATAGCTGTCTTGGCATTATGTATGCTGAATACTAATCATAGCTAATTAGCATGCTCATATATTGCTTAAAACTAACGAAAATAATTTACAAATCTTTTCTAACTCCTATGTATTCTATTTATGTTTTATATGGCTTAAAATATGCATTAAATTCTAGATTTGTGTTTAAATGGAAATAATTTTTAATATATTTTAGCACATAAAAGGCTTTGAGTTTTGATGCAGTATTTAATATAGAGAATGACTGAAAAGGAATATGCTGTGTTCTGAAACATTGCATTAAATATTCATGCAGCATGATTATTGATTGCTTTAAGTGTTTATATTATTTAAGCTTATATAAAATAATTGTAGTAATTAAATTAGGTCAAATAAAATTTTTAAAAAATTACATGAAACAGCAAAATCGATGGATAATTTGATATAAAAATTGCACAATACTTTTTATTATTGTTGTATAAATTGTATATAAAAATCTTCATTTTTGTTTGCTAGAACTTGAGAATGATTGTAGTACAAAATTCATAGAAATTGTAAATGCCCCATGTCAGGATGGAAAAATTCATGAAGATACTAAGGTTTGTTCAATTACATTCTATTATATAACATTTAAAAATAATTTTTTTTTTTTTTTCCAGAAAGCAAAATTTGTTATTTTATCTCTCTCTCTTTTTAAGTTATTGTTATTTTGCATATGTGAAAGCAATGAAGACAAATAATCAAAATAAATGTTTGAAAAAAGTGATTTTTGATAGAAAGAAGAAGAGAATGAGAAATTTACTTAACTAATAGTTTGTCAAGATGCAGTATATATCAAACTGATATGCACAATACTGTGATCTTAAAAAAATAATACCGTTTGCCTTGTTAAAAATTTTTAATTTTAAATTATTTGTAAAAATTATTAGAACAGAAGAAAATCAGTGCATAAACTAAAAAAGTCATTTTTAAATTTTGAATAATGATTTCAGCATGAATTTAAAATTAATTAAAATTTAATGATTTCGGTATATATTTGTATCTGTAACACTGTCATATAATGCATATCTCAGAAAGTAATCTAAGTAATTTGTTTAATTTTTCTTTATTTCTCTGTACTCAGAACATAATTCATCAAATTTACATTTAGACATATCCTAACATGACTAAAAATATTTCAAACAGGTTAAAAAATTTTATTATTATTTTAACAGGAACAATGTAACAGCGTATCTGAAGAATCAGCAAAAAATTACGAATCTCTTTTAGAGACTGAAAATATGGATCTGGTAAAAAACAGCGTTCCTTTTATGTGTCCAGTTTGTTTTAGTGACATTGGAACTTCTCAAGGGGTTATTTTGCATGATTGTCTTCATTCTTTTTGTCAGTAAGTAATGAAAAATGGTATAATATTAAACTATTAATTAAAATAAGTTTTTATGGTTACATTCCTGTTAAGTTTTTGTCTTTTTTTTACCATCTTTTGTATTAATATGCAAAATATGAGGAAGTTCATCGAATGAAGCATAAGAAACAGTGCTAGGCAAACCAAATATTTTAAATTTTCAATAAAATCAGCTCTTATGTTACATTTCTCCAAATATTTCTGTAGTATAGTTAATTCCTGGGGGGAGAAATTCTTTTTATGTTCCAAAAACCTTTTGCTGGCAGCATTTATGACTTTATCATCATATGCAAAATGCATGCAGAGAAAAGTCTTTCTTCAGGTTTTTAAACTGGAAAACGTCACTTGAAACAAGTATTATGGAAACACTTTAAATCCTGCAGCACTTAGAGCAGCTGTTGCCTTCCTAGAGTTGTATGATGTACATTATTCAATCAAAAAGAATTTCCTTGACAACTTTACCTCTTCATTTATTCTTAATTTCTATACACAGTTTTAGTATAAATTGGGCATTGGTGATTTTTTTCCTCATCAGTAACCTTTTGGCACTCCGGAAAACATTAGCCATACTGTAGTGATTATCAACAGCTTTTTTGTATTAAAAATGTTTTAGATCACATCATTTATTTGCACATTCAAGGGTTATGCACATCATTACTCTTTGCATATCCTTATTTTCTTTCTTATGCAGATTCAAACATCATGAGTTAACATTATCTTCAAAATAATTACTTTCTATGAAATTGCCTAGTGATCATAATAATTTCATCAGTCAAATATTTGTGAATGGTCTGTTATAAAGTTTTTTTTGTTTTGTTTTGTTTTGTGTGTGTGTGTGTGTTTGTTTTGTTTTGTTTTTTATCCCTAGGGATTGTTTAGCCAGAACTGTAGAATATTCTGAAAGTACTCTTATTAAATGCCCATATCGAGATGATGATTATTCTTGCCAGAGCTATTTGCAACAACGGGAAATAAAAGCTGTGAGTATTATTCATATCATAATATGCAGCTTAATCTTTTTGCTAATATGCTGTAGAAATGAAATATTTTCTTACTTTTTCTCATTTATTATCATAAACATCCATTGTAAAACTTTAGAAATATATAAAATAGAAAAATAAAATGTACATTCTATTTCATAACATTCCTTGAATCAGCACTTTTCTGTTAAAGCCATACCACATATTTTTGGTACCATATTGATGCATTTATTAGGCTTATTTTTTTTCCCCCTCCATGCATTTGGCTTTATACTAGATGAATGTAACAATCAGGAACAGCAAGAAGAAAACATTTTGTAATTTCCTCCGAAAACTTATTGAAAAACATGGCCTATGCTAATTTTTTTTTCTTTTTGCGAATAAGACTGTCATTAATTTTGAGTTTTGTTGTGTACATCAATTTTAATGCAGGGGTGTTTGTGCTCCGGGGAAACCCCAGAATTCCGGGGATCGTCGTTCAAAAGGAAGTAGGAATAATAATGAATTATTTATTTTGATCTGGGTAATTTTGCTTGCTTTGAAAGCAGAAAACGCAAGGTCAGTGTGTATGGTGAAAACTTTTCCTTTCTTTCTCCAAAGGCAGTGATAATGCGTGAAAAGGGGGGAAAAAACTTCTTTTTTTGTTCTTTCCTTATTGCGAGTTATGACTCATTCCCCCGGTTCTCGGACATTCTCTTCTGGATTCTTTTCGGCAAGTAGGCGCGGCAGAAAAAAAGGGAGAGACTTCGTTCGACCAGATGTGCGATCACGTGACTCTGGGTTCAAAGGTCTTATCTCTCCTGGCGTGGGCGCCAATAAGTAGAGAAGGGAGATTTTTCGCTGTATTAGCTATTTGTCATTGATCGCTTCTCAACTTTTTTTTCTCCGCTGTGTAAAATTTTCGTTTCATTTATTGATGCACGTGTAAATTTTTCGTTTCATTTATTGAAATATTTTTTATTTATGTACGCAAGAGAATTTCACTATGAAATTTCTCGATATAAATAGTGATATTATACAATTAGAAGAAGGTGTCCGGAATGCATTTAGGTGGAATTGGATTGAACGGAGAGATGGTAATGGGGATACCATCGGCACATGGTGCAAGAAAATAAATGTTGCTGGACAAGCATATTGTGTTTTTTGTAACTCACTGCTGAAGTATGGTGGGGAAGGATTCAAGGCTTTCACAAATCATTCTAAAACTGTGACGCACATAAAATATTCAAAGTGCATTAGACATTCAATGACTTTAAGTAATTATGCTAATTCAAAAAATACTGATGACTTACTGGAGACTGATGCTCGGCCATTGGATATAGTGACAAGAAAAGCACGCCAAGAGGTATTAATAACTTCGTTTATCGCCGAGAATTCTCTTTCTTTCAATGTAGCTCCCAATTTAATTGAACTCTGCAAACAGTTGAGCCGCGATCAGACGGCACTAAACTCGTTGGAAATGTCCAGGACTACTGCATGTTATAAGATGAAATATGGGCTCGCAAAAACTATTAAGGAAAATATCATTAAAACTTTAAAGGAGACTCCATTTTCTCTAAATTTGGATGAAAGTACTAGCAATGCTCAAGAAAGTATACTGGCAATATTGGTGCAGTTTTATGACAACAATCAAAATGAAGTTGTAGTTCATCATTTTGCATCTCTAAAGATGGAATCTTGCAATTCAGAAGCTGTTTTTAAAGCAGTTGTTAATACTATTGAAGATAATAATATTCCATGGGCAAACTTAATTAGTGTATTAATGGACTCATGTAACACCATGCGTGGAAAAAAAAAAGGGTGTTGAAACCAGACTACGATCAAACAAAGCACCCACTTATTAGATATTGATGGTGACACATGTCACACAGCTAATAACTGTGCGAAAAAATTTGCTTCATGTTTTGATAGATACTTAGAAGATTTGTTTGATGACATCTATTTTGATATGAAAAGCTGCAGTAAAAGAGAAAATTTTTTCAAAATCTGTGAATCCCTTGCCATTAAAAAAACTTAAGCCCTTGAAGAGACCAGACCATAGGTGGGTGTACATTTTATGTGTTTTAGAAAGAATCAAAGATCTGTGGGATGCTCTTATTGCATTTTATTTTCACTACTTGGATAAAACTGATAAAGGGGATTATTTTTCTTATGTTGAAACTGTATACAATAAAAGAAATATTTCTGCAGCTCAGAAAAAAAAATTGTTGAAGGGGTGTATTCTTGCTTGCATTCCCAACAACTCACAAAGAATGCTTTAGCTCGGAAAAAAAGAATACTAAATGGGTTATTTGTTATGCAAAACAAAACTTTATTGCATATGGCATTATATTCAGCAGTATTACCAGAGTTCAACACATATATTAAATTATTTGAAACAAAAAAAAAACCAATGCTTCATTTAATACATTCCAGTATTTATAAATTGATGGCAAAATTTTTCTCTTTTTTTATGAAGCCAGAAAATATAGAGTGCACATCTTATAATGATTTATTAAAGGTTGATGTCACAAATCCAGAATTCCATCTACCTAGCAAAGTAATATTTACTGGTGCAGAAGCTTCCACTCTCCTGAAGAAATTATCAAAAAAATCATCCAATAGCAAAAGAATTCCAAATTTCTCTGATGAAAGCTTATACTAATACAGCACAGCATATGAAACAGAAATTACCCCTTAAAAATTCATATCTAATTAGTTTTACAGCATTAGATCCAGAGCTAAGAGGTAAAACCAGTACAATATTAGCTTTTGAAAAATTATCATCTTTTATGTCCCATATTTTTAGTGATAATGAAAAGTCAAAAGTAGAAGCTGAAATAAGGTTATACCAGAGTGATATTGATATCACCAAAGAAATGCTCTACACATCTGATGAAAGTGGAAATCAAGTCAAGTGTACAATTGATAAATATTGGTCTAAAGTTTTTAATTTAAAAGATGATTTCACAAATGATTATAAGTATCCTACATTGGCTAAATTGGTCAAAGCCTGCCTTAGCTGCTTCCATGGCCCATTAGTGGAAAGTGCATTCAACTTAATGGATACACTTGTCACTGACTATAGAACCTCTCTTAAGATTGATTCCCTAGATGCAGTGCAGACTATTAAATATGATTTAATGGCTTCTAAAGAAACCTCATGTGAAAAATATGGCTAAAAAAATCCAATGACTGATCCAATTCACAAAGATCTCTTACTGAATATGAACAGAAGTTGGAAAACATATCAAGAGGACTTAAAAACATGTATTTCAGATGAGTCACCTATAAAAGTCTCTGAAAAACCTTCTACATTAGCAGAAAAGCAAACTGCTTCTACCTCTGCATGTGCAGTTCTCGAGGAAATTTCTTCAACTGTAAATGAGGAAAATAAAAGTCAACCTTCCTGCAATTATGAAGTTCACCACAAAAGAAAGACAAGCCCACAAACATCAGAAAATAAAAAAAAGCAGCAGAAATTAGATAATTTTTTTTAAAGAATTAATTCAGGTAATTTAAAATATTTACATAAAATGTAGTAGTTTATATGTTTGAAAATTTATGGTTATTAATTTTGCAAAAAAAAAGTAATTCATTGAACTTTTATAATTAGGTCATTCAATACTTCATAATTGTAATTTTTCATTTCTCTCCCCCCCCTTCTCGAAACTCCAAAATGTCGGTAGTAAGTCCGTAAAAGTTTCAGGGGATTTTTTGGGGTCCCACAAAACCCCTGAATGCTAAAGGTAATTAAGTTGCTAGCTCTTGATAAATGCAGAAACATTCTGTTATGTTATTTAAATTTGGTCACAAAACTCAATAATGTTAATCTAACACGTAAGGAGTATCATGTCATAGTAAAAGATGAAATCAGATTATTATTATTATTTAACTTTGTGAAATAAAATTTTTAACTGAGAATAATATGTATTTATGATTTTCATCATTTTTCATGTGATAAAAAAGTGACTAATGTGTGATGATTGTTCATTGCATGATTTATGGTTAATCTTCAATTAGAATAAGATTCTTGACTATTACTAAAATTTTAGAACATTGTAAAGCATTAACCAGTTGGATATGTATTATGTTATGTATATATTTAGTTCAAAATACAAAAAGGACTATTACTGTTCTCTAAGAAGAAAGTTTGTATCAGCATTATTGTTTATTCAGTATTGAATAATGCATATTAAAACAAAATATACATCAGCAATTTTAGAAGAATTCATGAGGGATTAATTAAAACAAAAATAATCTAGCTGCTGTTTGAATCTTCTTAACATTCAGCTTTAGAAATCAGTGTAGCAAATACTGAATAAACATAAATGCTGATAAACAGATAAAGAAATAAACAGTAATGCTAATAAGTAAATAAATAAATGCAAAATCTAAGGTGATAAAATTATTTTATTGTTAAATCTATGAATTCTCGACTATGCAAGATATCTTAAATCTTAAATATAAACCTTACTATTATTTACTACTATTTAGATATAAATTTTTCTTGAAAGGATTTTTATTATTCCATGTAGTTTTATCATAGTTTTATGTATTTATAGCTTGTTTCTAAAGATATGTATGAGAAGTATCTTCGCCGCAGCATAACAACTGCTGAAAGTCTTGCTGAAAAAAGCTTTCATTGTAAAACACCTGATTGTCCAGGTTGGTGTATGTTTGAAGACAACATTAATGTTTTCCATTGTCCGGTATGTCATCACTATAACTGCTTAAATTGCCGTGCAGTTCATGAAGGTTTTAATTGTAGACAATATCAGAACAGACTAAAATGCCAAGAAAAGTTTGATCGTGATTCTGAAAAAACTTTGGAATTTCTCAATGTAAGTTTTTAGAAATGTTATTATTATTTTGAATTTGAAACGAATAATATATTGAGTATTTTAAGTGGCAAACCAGCTAAGACATTTAAACCACTTCTGCAAACCACTTATAATTTGTGCTCCTGTACTTGGGAAATTTAGATAGGAGTTCTAATTAGTATTTTGTTGCACTTTAATATGAAGAAAGTAAGTGATTAATCTAATTTTTAAGCCTACTGTATTATTTAGGTTTGAAATGTATTCCAGCTTAATTGTTATAATTAAATGCCGTGGTAAGAGCATCTCAAAAACAGTGATTCTGTTAGACTGTTTTTGCTACCAAAGATAATCTGAAATGTATGAAGCTGTCATGCTGTCCATAGGAGATCACTAGCTGATTCCTTGTTATAGCTGATATTATCCTTAATTTCAATCATGGTAATGGCTCTCTATGAAATTTTTTCCAACGTGCAATTCATTGGAAACTTTTGGATAGATTTCTGCATCTATAGATCTATTTGTGTGCTGTTCATCAACAACTGTTCATGCATAATTTCCATGAACAGGCAAATGATAACTAGAAAAGTGTTGTTTAGTCAGGAAATACCTTTCTCTCCCCACTTTTTTTTATTCCATACTGACTAGCGATTTTATTTGCAGTTTTTATCAAGCTTTCCTTCTCATCTGATTGCACTATTAGGTTCATATAGGGGAGGCTTATTAATCATTTTTAGAGTGAACTTTAAAATTTTACTTCTCATACTTGAATGAAACTCATGGCTCACCAAATACACCTATTTATGACAATTGTATTCTATAGTGGAGAATCTAATTAAAGGGCATAGAAGTTTAAGGAATGGCTGCAAAAACAAGGCAAGGAATGCCTTTTATGGGCATGACTTCTAAATTTTATGGACATCAATTATTTGAACTTTTATAGTTTGAATTTAAAAACTTGCAAATTACGTAACGTACAGAAATTTGAAAAAATTACGTAACGTAGGAAATTTGTTGCATTCTTGATAACAAATATGAAGAGAAATGTGTGTTTCCTATCAGCCAACTTTTACAAATTTTTTGTAATTTTTATGAAAATTATACTAGTTTTTCAGATCTTGTGTTCAAAATCAATTTTTCATAAATTTTGCAATTTTTTGTAAACTTGCCAAAAATTGTGTCAGTTTTGAGATCTGTATTTTAAGATCAGGTTTTTGGCAGACATTCAGGTTATTACATTTGAATTCACCACCTTTATTACCTCAAAAACAGAGTTTTTTTTCAATTTAGAATATAAAGTCTTTTGCTCTGTATTGCCATGTTTGGTGATTTATTGGTATTCTGTTGATTTTAAAATTGCTTTCAGTTTTTGGTGATTGTGAGCATATTTGCATAATGTAAAATGTGGTTGCTTACCAAACAAGCATACTTGATTTAAGTAAAACATACATTTTAATGCATGCTTGCCTTGAGCTTAACAAAATATAGTGTTCTGTGCATGCAGATTCATAATTGAGTGAATGAATGCATATGTAACTGATGATAGCTTGATAAAATTTATTTTTACCTGAAGAAATTGTTTACATTTCTGGAACTTTCCACAAAAGCATTTGTACAGCTCTTGTCAGTATCACAGACCACAATCAGTAGTTACATTCCAAACTACTAAGAACGTTTAACACAGTGCTATGCAAAGCACATCTAAAAGACAAAGCTGTCAATATTCTAAACTTGCTCTGAACTAACAGCTCTGAAACTGATGCTCTCTCCTGTCTTATGTAGTTTTCCCCCAGCTGCCTGAAAACTTCTAGCACCTTTCGCTTCTCGAAATTACATATGAGGGTCAGGTATAGTTAGAGTTACATAATGGATTCCATTACATTTATTCAATCACAATACCATTAACAATTATACAAGGATCTGACCAAAATGTCTCCAAAGGTTGCCAAATCTGGCAACAAAAATTAGTCACTAAAACCACCTCCAGTTTGGTGAGTTCTTGCCAATTTAGCGAGATACTCAATGTTAAATAGACTTGCCCCTGTATTCTTATTTTCCTGGATCAAGCATAGTCTCTTTCAAGCATTTAGTATTACATTATAATAAAAATACAACAATCTCACATATAATTTCACTAAAATTATTTACATATATACAAAATTCGTAACATTGCCCCCTTCCTTGAACTACAATGTCATTCATCCTGTTGAGAACTGTGTTAGGATCGTGCCAAGGTTACTGTGATTTAGGAGAAAATCCTTTGCATTGAATCGGATTCTGTAACCATACCTTGTCATCTTTGTTGAATTGATGTCCTGCAGCTCTTGTGTCGTATTGGGTCTTCATCTTCTCTGTAACCACGTTAACTTACTTTTGAGCAAAATTGTGCATCACTTCAAACTGTGCCTGGAGATCTTCAGTGTACTGTTCAGGTGATCCGGAGGGTGTGCAAATAACAGATCATAAGGCTGATGAAGGTGATGGCCAAAGAGCATCTGGGATGGAGAATAGCTGGTAGTCTTGTGAGCAGCACTGCAATAGGTCAGTAAGAGCAGATGTAACTTCTGGTCCCAGTCCTGTTGTTTTCTGGAAACCATCAGCAAGAGGCTGTTAAGGATATTTCAATTAAACCTCACTAACATGCTGTGTGATTGTGGATGTAAAAGTGCCATAAAGAGTTTGCCTGTACTGAGTAATTTGAAGAGTTCTTTAATTATAACTGATTTAAAAGTCCTTCTTTGATCGGAATAAAACTGCAGAGGCACTTCAAACCTAGAAATCCAATGCTCTGTCATTTACCTCTGCTACCCTGGCAGCCTCTTGATCATGAATAGGATACACTTCAGGGCACTTGGTGAAGTAATCAGTTACAATAGGGTGTATTTGTTGCCATCAGTAGTTCGTGGCAGAGCTCTCGCAATGTCAAATGCAATACGTTCAAAAGATGTTTCTACATTGTAATGTTGCAGTTTCACTCGGCGGCCTTTCTTCGATTCTTTCTGTACAGCAGAGGCATAGAGAGATTATCACTTTATATGTCAGCCACTGCCTTTCTTCATTAGAAGCACTCTTAAACTCTATGCAAGGTCTTCACTATTCCTCCATTTAAATGTCCTCCTGTTGGGCTGATATGTAGTTCTTTCAGGACATCCGAGATCCGGAATCTTAGAAGTATCAGCTGCCATCGGAATCCCTCTTTATCAACTCATTCGAACTTCCAGTATAAGATGCGGTTCCAGATATGGAGGGAGTTTCAGAGAGCCCAATATTGTTTCATCTTTAGAACTATAGATTGAAATAGCTTGCAAGGTAGGTTTTCCTATTTGAAGATTCCATTAAGTCAGTTGTGGGTTTAATGATGCCTACTTCCAACTGGTCTTTCCTGACTTTTTCATCAATCCATGGGTCTGGGTCAGATGATGTTGAATTTATAATTGATGCATGACAGGATTAAGCAGGACATATTTCACTTTGATCCTGGAACAATATGAGCAGCATTCTCAGCAATCTTCTTGACAGGGCATTGGCATTACCATGTGATGATCCCTTCCGATAATGGATAGTGATGTTATATTCCTGCGATCTGTATCCGTCTGGCTATTTGGTCTTTGAGATTCTTGAAATTTAAAAGCCAGGTCAACAATGCATGATCTGTGCAGAGTAGAAATTTTCTGCTGTAGAGATAATAATGGAAATGGTCTATGGCTTTAACTGTGGTGAGCAACTCTTTACTGGTGGCACAGTAATTCCTCTCTGGTTTAGATGGACACTTGCTCCAGTATGCTATGACACATTCTTGCCCATTTATTTCTTGGGACAAAACAGCACTGACACTCTCATTGTTTGCCTCTATGCCAAGAATAAGGGGTTTGTCGAGCTGAGGATGCATCTGGATTGTTGCAGATGTTGAAGCTTCCTTCAGTTTGATAAATGCATCCTCACATTTCTTTTGTCCACAAGAACTTTTGCTTGTTCTTTGTCAGTTTGGGAAGGGTGTCTGTGGAAGAGAAGTCTTTTACAAATCTCCTATAGCAGATGCAAAGTCCCAGGAAACTTCTCAGCTTCTCAGTTTTTGGGCCATCTCCAGTCTTTAATTGCCAACACTTTCTCTTCATTTGTACACACATCTCCAGCAGAAATAACCTGTCTGAGGTAAGTCACTTCCTGTCTAAACAATTTACATTTGATAGGATCGAAATTTTAGATTGGCATCCTTCAATTTCTGAAGCACCTTTCTAATACACTGGTTATCATAAATTAAGGAAAAATCACAAAAATAGCAATAACTCCCTAAAAGATAAGCCAAACCGTGTAAAATTTGAATATGTTGCCAAGTAAGAGTAGCTGAATAAAACTGCAATATGCAAATTAGTGGCGCAGCACTCGGAATATGTCATCTGCAAGGAGAATAAAAGTCCATGTTTGAGATCAAGCCCACATATTTCACTGTGACGGTGACATCAGAAATCTGAGATAGCCAATTCGTAACAATGATCTCCAGGCATCATTTGCTTGCAGAACTATGGTGTAGAGCCATTGGGACACTAGAGACAGGATAAAGTCAAGCAAAAGTGGCCAGATGGCTAAATGTGAGTCCTTCTGTGGTTCATAGACTTTGGAGGCGATTTCAAACCATAGATTTGGCATCTAGGAGGTTCAGCCAAGGACGGCCAACTGCTACAACGAACGCTGATGACCGATATTTGACATTATGTGCACGCAGGAATAGAACTGCTACTCCGACTCTTCTTAGATCCTCCCTTGCTGCAGAAACCAGAAGGTTTGTGTCAACATCAACTCCTCATAGAAGGCTTCACGAAGGTGGTCTGTATGCGAGGCGGACAGCCATTTGTGTGCCACTCACGTAATGCCATAGGAGGTACCATTTTCAGTGAGCACGACAACATGTCCACTGGACGCCTGATCAGTGGAGGGCGGTTCTCTTTACGGATGAGTCCAGGTTTAGTCTAGAAAGCGATAGTAGGCGTTATTTGATATTGAGATAATCTAGAACCTGTTATCAT